TAACAACTCTGAGCTATTAGTTAAGTTCTCCCCAAGCGAGCTTGATGGGCCGAATGGCCTCCTCTCGTTTGTATAGTTCTTATGTTCTTATGGACAATAGATGGATACTAATGATAAGAAATAACATTGTTAATGTAATGATTAATACATTATTTGTTAGAAGAGTTGCTGACATTAAGAATTTATGTCCTTAGTGTTTGTGGTTCACCCTTTGTGTTTGTTTTTTTTATTATTGTTAATAAACCCTGCTTAGTTTGGAGGTGCTTTGTGGATCATCTCTCCTTCCATCATGTCCACTGGCTCCCCACAGCTAGCCGTCGATCCACCCACTGGGTCTCAGCAGCCCGCCGCCCATCTGTTCACTGTCTCCAGCTTCACAAAGCAAAAGTGGAGGAAGCAGACTGAACCTGCCCTGGAGCCCATCTCACAGAACCCAGTTCAGCCCGAGGCCTGCCTAGGTGAGAATGCAGGTGCTCTTCTCAAACCCGTAAAGCCTGTCTTCACCTCTCCCCCCCCCCAGCCCAAGAGAGGCCCCTGCTGTGCTCGGGCCTGTAGAGGCCAATATTGTGTACGGCCCAGAGAGACCTCCGCCATTCCTCCCAAGTCTCTAGAAACGGGTCCAGAAAGGGCTGCTGCTCATTCCAAGCCTCCAAAGCCTGACCCAGAGAGGACTGCTTTGCCCGCACTCCCAGCTCCTAACACAGAGAGGGCTGCTACAGTCTACACTCGTGCCCTGCTCGTCTCAAAGTGACCTGGCTTCAACCCGCTTGCCTCAAGGTGTCCTAGCTTCACCCTGCTTGCCCCCAGCCATCGTGTTGGCTCCTGCCTCACAGTCGCCAGTCGTCACATCAGCTTCTGCCTCACCATCACCAGCCAGCATGTTAGTTCCTGCCTTGCCTTTGTCAGCTATCACATCGGCTTCCACCTCGTCTTCTGACTCCTTGTCGGCTCCTCATCTCCAAGCTCACCCTCACTGTCCGCAATGGCCTCTGGGAGGCGGACTCGGCCTGCCATCACCCAGGCAGCCTCCTCTTCCCTTGCCAGTCTCCATCGGGCATATGCCTGACTCCGCATTCGCCCCCAGGTTAACACCTGACTCCCTGGCTGCCACCAGGCTGACACCTGAATCCCCAGCCGCCCCCTGGCTGATGAGCTCTTTCGCAGTTGCTGACAGGCCTATGCCCGACTCCCTGGCTGCTCCTAGCACAGAGACAATTGCCTTAGTGCCATTCTGTAGATCCCCATTTCTGCCCAGCAGTCACACCAACCCGGTCATAAGTCTTCTTGTGTCTTCTCCAGTTCTGCAGGTACCTCTTTGCTCTCCGGCTCCAGCCCTGCAGTCCCCTCATCCTCCTCCTGCCCTGCAGTCTCCACAATGCCTTCCGGCCTCCCCAACGCTGTGGGCCCCTTGGTGCCTTCCAGCCCTCCGGGGCACATGGTCCACCTCACCTGGGAAGGGACCCTCATGTCCTCCTGTTGATCACACCCAGCTGCCTCCTGTCTGTTCCTTCGTTCCTTCAGTATTTAAGTGCTTCCCAGTCTACTGATGCCCAGCTCCATCACTGAAGTCATGGTGTCCTGTTGTCTACGGGCTAGCCTCCCTTTTTGATCCCCTGCGACCCCATTTTGTTTTCAATTCAGTTCACTCACGCTTTCAGACTCACGCAGGAAACCTTACGGCAAATCTATATTATTCCATTATAAACCTAGAATTAGTTATAGCAAACGTGTATTTACACTGTTAAATACAGAAGCAGACTATTTACAAGGTAAGAACTGTTACATATGTGTGTAGACATCTCGAATTGAAAATCTCACTCCAGCCAGCTGGCCGAAGTTGGCAGCCCTGAATTTTATTTGAAATGAAAAGTAAAATGCACTGTTTTCGCCTGAAACGACTTGTCATTCCGTTTGCGTTGTTACTCCGATAAATATAAAATTAATATGAGAAAAACACGTTTTGTCACGTTTTATATCTTTTTGAAATAATAAGACCACCCATATCCTACTTTAATAGCGATTAAAGTGATAACTTGTTGGAGTTAAGGTAAACTGAAGACACAGCCGAAGTTTTTACAACACCAGAGACAAACAGGGCTCGGTACTTGGCTAGCGAGCATGCCGGTACTAGGGGTGTGCAAAGCAGCCGGTATTTGTATCTGTATTTGTATTTGTTGAGGGGGGAAAAGTATTTGTATTTGTATTCGTATTCGAGTAAAATTCAAAATAGGCGTAAAAATCCAGTTTTTTTGCGTTGCACTTCTAATTT